AAGATGTCTCTTCCCTATTCATTGTTTCAGTCAAAAGTGGCTACTATAAAACAGAGACAATTTTTGAGCCAAAGACTTGTGAATGGCAAGACAGTTACACAACAAATGCAGACAGAGACCATGACAACCAGCTGATTGTTCACACAAATTCTCATGGTACGTGTTATGATGCCACAATGAAAACAAAGTCACAACAGAAGACTGGAACCTAGGAAAAACATTACAGCTTGTGAAATTGTTCAGAAAGGCAAGAGCAGCCATACTGAAAAATACTGGACAAAATCCTGTTGAGAAAGTGAACTGTGCAAGTGAACTGTTGCTGTAAAAACCACTGTGACTAGGAGAAGACAAGGCCAGGGTCCACTTTGCTCCCAGCCATGCTGTTCCACCCTGAAGCAGCCTAGGGCCCAAGCAGGTGCAGCCTGGCTGCCACTGCAACAAAAGAGACAAAGTCAAGTCAGAACAAAAGAAATGCAAGACAAGACAGCTTGCCCCAGACCCTTAAAACCAGAATTAAGAGTGGCCTAGGGAGCTGCTGAAGCTACCATTTGTCAGCTTAACACCTGGTAAAGCAACAGGGAAGCAGAGAGCCTTGCTGAAGCCAGCTGTCCCAAAAGGATTGTGTAACACCTTCTCTCAATTTGGACAGTATCTCTAGTTTCCTGGGACATCAGGCAGTTGTCTGTAACTGCTGGGCAATTAGGTCTTTAGTTTGCACTTGAGTGAATAATTTCCTTCCAAGTTTGTGATTTATTTTCCACTGCACACATTTACTGCCTTGGGTCCTTTACTGCCTTTTTCCAACTGCATGTAATTATGTATCTACACATACTGAAAAATCAAGGCTTGATTACAACTAAAAGTAGTGAAGTCTCAGAGAGGCTTTCAAGTAGGTCTGATTTTAATGGAAAAGGGAGAACCAGTGAAAGAAACCCCAGAAGTTTCTGCCTGACAGAGTTCTCTGCTGGCAGACGAAGTTTGCTGGCTTTCTGATGATATTGGAAAGCTTCAATGTTTCCAGTCTGAATTAGGAGAGAGTCTCAAATGAACAGCAGCAGCCACCCACAATTAATGCTGTGTTCCTATCTCAGAACACAAACAAAAACAAACTGGGAGGCAAACCCAGCTTTTCCTCAGCATTATGCTGTTCTCCAAAACAGAAAGGTGTAGTGTTTCAGTCTAGCTCTAAATTTCCCTACTTTTCTATTTGTCTAAATTTTGACTTTACAAGTCTCTTACAAAACAGAAGTAATAGGAGACATAAATATAAACTCTGATGAACATCGGAATCACTTCACCAACCAAAAAGGTGAGAGAATATAGTCTGGGCAACAAAAGCAAATGACATTTGGAAAACACATTACCAATCTAAGGACTTTTTAATGGGTATATATTCATGTTACTGATTATTCAAGCAATTACAGAATATGACATTCAGATCTCAGGTTTCTTTAACTAAAATATATTCCAATTGTTTGCTTTTATCATCAAAAGTAAATTTCAGGGGATTAAGTTTCAGAACTTGAAGATAATTAAAGCTGTCTTGCTCTTTTTGCAACTACAAACATCACCTTTCAGATATATAATCTGCACTGCATCTTGAAAGTTGAGATCACTTGAAAAACTACTCACACTTTGATATAATGACACCAAAAAGAAGACTTTCTGATATAAGACTAAATTGGTCTCTGGATTAAATTTACTTAGCAGCAATTTCTAGAAGTCCTATTTTAGTTGCAAACACATTGAAACTAACATCTCATGCAGGAGTCAGTCTTGTGCATAATGCCTGCAGACTACTGCAGTAATCCCCAGAACCCACAGACCAGGGCACTAGTCCTTACTTAGTCCTTACAGACTGTGTACACCCTCAGCATTAATCAGTACATCCTTCCTTTATGCTATTGCTTTCTGGGATAGTTTACAAATAAATTTTCAGGAACTATATCTATATCTCTATATCTACTTTTTAAATCTCCAGATATACGTAGATTGACGTATCAGCCGCTCATAAATAGTATTTTCCTGAATAGTCAATCTTCCTGAAATCTCAGTGCAAAAAGAAGTGCAAAATATGATAAAAGGAATCCCTAAAAAAAAAAAAGTATAAAAGAAACCTTCTGTATTTAAGTTTTTCACAGTCTAACGGATTTGCCTTTCTTGCTTTATATTCTATGCATTTTGCTATTGATCTTCACAATAAACCAAAAATGTTGTCACCTGTCTGGGGAGAGTGGCTCTGGAATACAAAGAGTTGCATATCAAAAACCAGCACTAGAACATCAATACTAATTTTTAAAGTTCATTTCTATTGCTCATGCCTGCAGAGAGTCCAAAAAGAGGGAAAATGTGACATTTCTAACTTCACAGATACAGTGTGTCAAGAATGCTCCATTCTTTCAAAAAAGTGAGTTTTAATATAGAGAGCACTCTGTCTGGAGTACTCTTGGAGAACTCTAACTTCTCTATAAGGTACTCTATGCTCAGCAGGATATAAATAAATCCCTACTCTGAAGAAGATACCCCTGCAGTCACTCATGGCTCTCCAGAGGAAGGAAAATAATTTTTTTTTTATTTCTTGGAGAAAAAAGTCCTGGAGTCTTTAGATGCCCTGATTGACAAGAAGATTCAGAAATCACTTGGTATATCTTTGAGGTTCCAAAACAAAAATTATGACATGGCTGTTTCTTTTCCTTTTCCTTTGATTTTTACTTGCTGAACTTAATTTTATGTGCTTGGATGTTTGAATGCAAGTTATAGAGCACTTAAATGATAACCATTAGCATTCCTTGATGTGCGGCTTTACCTCTTCAGCAGGTCAGCCTATATAATTATTAATAAAATTTTCAGTGAAGTTATTATCAGAGCAGATGTCACATTCTAGAGACAAAAGTGACATTTGGAATCTACTGATAAGTCCTTGTACATTTTGTGTAGGAAGCTGCTAGATGACTTTATGGCCTCAGCAATAGAGAAAGGAGATATAGAGGATTCTACTTTTGGTTTATTTTGCTTTTTTGATAAATGGGAGATAGAAATAATCCCTTTTGGCTATTAAAGTAGTTTAAACACATATTTAATTTTAGCTATTCTGGCTCTAGGCTCTGGAGTTGTCTGCAGCCATGTTAAGTTCTGGCAAATTTTGTGCTGAGATCTTTCTGGGAATATCTACATGGGAATGTAATAGCTGGCTGTTGTCACAAGAGTAAAGTCTACAAATTAAGACTCTATGCTCTTAAGTGCAAAGAAAAAGCCTTGCATTTTACAGATGAGCACATGTTCAAATACCCAAAACATTTTCTCTGCCTTGCATAGCTTCTTTATCCTGCTGCCATATGGTACAAAGATTATTCCATCTTAGTATCTGGAGACTATTTTCTAACAGGAACTACTAGATAATTTGGTATTTTCTTAATAAGCAGGATAAAGAAAGTTTATTATTCTTTAAAATCAAGACATCAAATAATTTTTTTTCCTTGTTAAGTTCACTACAAAAAAGCCCTGGAAAAAAATGTATGACATACATTACTGTATGCTCAGTGACCAGCTGTTTTAAATTTGGGTATATAAGTAATTCACTCTTTTCTGTGTTCAAGAGCTGAATGATTTAATAAATCCCCATATGCCCCAACATGTGCCAGCTACACTGGGTTATCGAAAATCCAGCTGCTGTTATGATAAGAGCTGCCAATGCTAAAACTACTGAAGAGAATAATGAATCAACTTCAAGTCAACTAAGACATAAACTGACACAGTTCCACTTAAGATATGTGGGAATACAATACATCTGTTAATTAAAAACTAACACTGATCCATAGTCACATGAAATTTAGTGCCAAGAATTCATGGGCATTGTTTGTGGTGGAAAATTAATGCAAATCAACCTGTATGAAGACAAGCATCCCCATTTCCATCAGTTGTCCTAGATGCATAGGAATGTCCTATAAATTACACATTCAGTTTGCAAAACAGATTCTATTGTGTCACAGTTGGCTTTCTTTCACACACAGTATAATTCCCACGCAGCTATTAGATGATACGTTTTACAGAGCTAGACTTCTGAATTTTTAAATTATCATAAAAAACTGGTTATGAAAATGACTATGAAAATTTGATTGGTTTGATGTACCAATATTTTAATGCAAGGTAAGAGTCAAAAAGTACAATGCCACTGCCCTTAAGTCATTGAACAGTACACAAAAAAGGGAAGCAGAAAGACAGAAAACAGGCAAACAAGGTTGGCAAGAAATTATTCTCTAGACACATATTTTCTGGATAATCAGTGCAGAAATATCCAACAAAATATGTCACCATTAACTTTTTAAAAGCCAAGAAAATACTTCCTTGGACACGAAATTATTATTTGTAGTTACAAAAGCTTAGCAGGTGTAACTTTCATCTTGGTGTCAGCATAAGGAAATACATTAATGATACATTCTTTCATTTCTCACAATTAGCTCTGTTGTTAAGAGAAATAATTTTGAAATTAATCTAGAACTCATCAGTCCCCTAAGCAAGACTGGAGTATTATATTGATGTAAATTTACATAAGATATAGGATATAAAATACTTATTAGAACAAACAAACACAAAATCAAGCCATTTACATTTGTTGGAGCTGATCATCTCTAGTACACAAAGTGTTCAATGCTCAAAAGCCACATTAAAGACAACTTCAGTAACTCCAACTTCAAGCAATCTATATATAGTAGTTTATGTATAAAAAATAATTTAAGAATGCATTATTTGAAAAAGATTAAGAATATATTGACAAATTAAATGCATGCCATGCAGAGATTTAAGATGCTTATAAAAACTCGAGCATCGGGGCCAACCACATCAAGGGGCTTACAGAAAACTCAAAGACTTTGAAAGCTTAAAGAACCTCATTTTTTTCATACCTTAATTATGAAGTTGCAAATAATTGTGTTTTCAGCCACATGTTCTTGACACTGCAACAAACCCAACACTGTCATTTTCTCAATTATTAGTAGACTTACTTTTCTTTAAGGAAATCCACTACTTGTCTGAAGTCTGCCACACAGTATTCTCTTTTCATGTCCATGAGCACACTGTCAGAGGCTGACTGGACTGGTATGTGCAGAAAAGCATATACTCTTGGATGATTGAGAATCTTGGCCATTTCCTAAGAGTTATTAAAAGAAAAAGAAACTTTAAAGCATTATGAAAATAATACAGAAAACTCATTTCAATTAAAATATGCAGTAAGTATCAGTACTAATACTTCTAAAACCCAAACAATCCTGAATTGCCACAGCCCAGTTTGAAACATTAGGGACAGGTGAAAATATCTGAAAGCCAATTTTGTTTTAAGAGAAAATAAGAAGTGATAAAATCAAATTTCCTTTGAGACAGGGATCACATTTCCTATTATTGATTATGCAATCAAAATAGAATTTTAGAGGCAAAGTATTGTGAAAATTGGTGATTTCAGAGAGTGACTGCTTTCAAAGGATGGCAAGGGTTAGTTGCTTTCTTGCTGGAGTGAAGTAACTTCTCAGATACCAAAATGAGAATGTCTGTAACTGGATCATCCCTACAGTTGGCCAGTTGCTAATTAAGGTACACCTCATCACTTGCAATCCTGCTCCAATACTGGTCTGAAATGTTATATATGTTACTTCAGTGAAAAGGACAGAAATTAAAAGTGCTTGGCTATAAAATGAATAGAATTAATCAGGGGGCAGCTCAGAACTGGAGTAATGGCTTGGCAAGAGACACAGGGTGTTACACATTTTGTACAAATGCAAATGGTCAGGAAAAAAAAGAAAAAAGTAAAGGTAATAGCAAAATGGAAAACCAAACCTCCTAATGAAAGCCAAACCAAACCCCCAACAGAGGCTTGGCAAGGAGATAGAATGTGAGACAAAGAACAGAATAGGGTGGTCTGATTTCTCTCATTTTTATTATTTAACCAATTAAGGAACATACAGTCAAGCAACAAAGTGTAAGTATTTTTAAAAGTTTAAACCAACCAGCATTGAGACTGTGTGCAATATGGTACCATACTGCTTGTTAATCTTTGAGCTGCAACAAGTAAGTGAACTTGGATAAAGAACCATATTCCATGAACAGCCAGGTGTTCCCATATGGCTTTCCCTTTCTCCCTATGCTGTGGGCATACAGGAAATGGCCTGGGACTGAGCACTGATCTTCTGCCAGTGCATTCTGCTTTCTCCAGTCAGGCTCACTCAGTCCATTTCTCCTGTTTGATGGCACAGATATTCTGTCTGACAGCACATACTGCTGCCATATTTGGTTTTTAAAATGCAACTATTTACAATTTTTTTTCCAGACCATTAATCAGCAATATTAGTCATGCATCTAGATTTTCACTCTGTATTTATTTCTACAAGGCTGGCCTAGATTGTTCAAAGAGAAGGCAGACATCCTCGTGCCTTTTCACTTGCAAAAACTCAGCATTTAAAAGCACTGAATTTTAGAACAAAAAGAAAAAAAAATAGTCTCTCAGTACCCACTTTTCATCTGACAAAAATATGTGTGCAAAACCTGAACTCTATCAAATCACTTCTGGAAGCATTTTTCAAAGTTTCTAAGATCCTATTACATAAATGTTTAAGAGAAGTGGGTACATTATTCAAAGCAACAGCTACTCCATCTCAGGTACGTAAACTCAATTTGATACACAGAATTGCACACAGTTTGATACACAGAAAGGCTGTGTGCAGAGAACCTGGCTCTCAGTGGAAGCTGGAGGTAGCTGGTTTCATGAAAAAAAGAGTGAAGAAAAGGCCACCATGCATCCACACAAATTTTATGTCCAATTCAAATGGAACTATACTTATCTGTGTCCTTAAAAACTGTAGATCTTCAGCTAGAATATATTTTCAAAAACTAAATTGCACAGAACAAGCATCTAAAATTGGGAAACCTTTTCTTTAAGCTTCAGAAAATCTTGTAAATGTAATTTGTATGAAGCATCTCATAGCCATCTGCGATTTTTCTGTTTATCAGTAATCAAATATATTTCTAAAATATGGGAAATATGAGCTGAAACTTAAGCTATGGACCACAAGCCTATTATTCTGCCTATCTCTTGGTTCCAAGTACTTCATTCAATCTTAGAAAACAGATTTATGATATAAGGAACCAATGAAAGTCATGTTTCATAATATGTTTCTAAATCTGCCAAGTTCTTTAAAATAACTCACCCTATGCATAGAAAAAAAAAAATTCTTTGCCACTCCTCTCAAATTTTGCATCTCTGAATAACAGAATCTTCAGTATGGGATCAGTTTGTGAATTCTTTTTGGAACTAAAAATTCATTTATTAGAATTTCTAGATACAAAAGCGTTATTTGTTCCAGCTTTTGCAAGGTTGACAATCATGTGATAGAACAAAAACCCAAACAGATTCACTGCATCTGCTTGTTTGTGACAGAAATACTACATTTTAAAAAATCTTGCCTTGTTTTACCACAAAGTTTTGATTTTTAGAGTTTCAAATGTGGAAATTCTCTAGTTACATGAAAATGTTGCTCTTATTTCTCATATTCACCTAAAAAAAAAATAAAAATTTTGCTGTGAAGAATGAAATCCAAGTTCTAAAATCTCAAAAGCGTTTTCCTACCCAGAGGATTCAAGGAAACCAAAGCACCCAACCCCAAAGGCACTAGCTGCTGATCTGACAGTAACATGCAGAATCCTGCTGGTCTCACTGGTGATCTCTTTCAGGGGGATGTGGCCAAGAGGGAGCTTTTGACTGCACTTCCTGTGAGAGGAACTAAACCAGTGGTGTCCAACAGCCAGTGTTAAACAAGACTAATCAGAACTGCTTCTTCCAGTTATCCCATGTAAAAGAAAGAAACATGTTCTCTGCAATCACTCTTGTCGATAACTTTCAAGATTAGGAACAAAACTGTTGTCATTTAAAGTAATTACCCTGGGTTCTCTACTAATGGGACGCAAAATGCCTGGCATTAATTAACTGAACTTTTCAACTATCACTACAGGTCCCTGCATCCAGTAACAAATACAGCTGTAAGCTCAAAAACATTATTGACTATTCCACTCCATCATTTTGGTTCAGAAAGATACTCCATATCAAAAGAACTGGCATCCTTTAGAAAGTAAATAATTTGTCTTGTGTATCAGAAATTCACATATAATACACACATTGTCTATCTGGGAACACTAACACAACCTAGCTGCAGTGGTCACGGGTCTCAGGGATGTTCTGGACAGTCAAAGCTCCTCCTAGAGATGAGGAGGGTGCAAACAGCTCTTTCTACTGTGAATGCCTTGCTTTGCTTGCTTTCTGTATCTAAAGCCACACAAAATGCACTGCATGTGTTTTGAATCAAAGGTCTTACTGATAAACTGATTTCCCAGCAGGTACTTGAGGCTTGTAAGATTAACTTTGTGAATTCAGCAGAACACAAATTATTAACACAAACCAAATGAAAGTCAGAAGTACCTGATGACCCACCGTTTCACTGCCATTCACTTTTAAGTACTGCTGGTGGTCTTAAATTTACCTTTTATAACCAGAAACTCTAAGTGAGCCATTCAGAAGGAAACAGAAGAATGAATCAAACAAAAGTTTTGCATGGTTGCATCAGAAATCTGGACAAACCAATCTTTCAAATTCTGCACTGTGCAGATAGAAATATCACATTCTAACCTGTAGCTTTGAGGTAAGACTGTTACAGTCTTATCTTTTATCCTTGCTACCACTAAAATAACACTGAAGTTCTTTACTACATAGGTTTGAATAAATTACAACTGCTCTGCACTGAACAGTCATACTTAGTCAATGCTGACAGACTTTCCCATACTACAGATTGCACATAGAATACCAGATTTCATCACTAAATAAAACTATTAGTTAATATCCCAAAGAGTATTTGAAGGACATCATGGACTAATGCATATTTGTTCTTCACAGTGTCTCAGCATTCTAAGTTTAACATCTGTTTCCTGTTGTTTTTATAATTTTGTTTTTCTAAAGTGCTTTGCATTACTAGGTATAATTACATATTTCAGTTAGAAGAAAAAAAAATACAGAATTTTATTTCCATCTGGAAGCAATAAATGAACAACGTATTGAAACTGTATCACTGTGAAAGAAATTTTCTGTTTTTCATCACAACTGAAATGGCTGATTGCCTTCTCTCACTATTCCCTGGAATCTGATAATGTGTCTATGAATGAAGGGATGCACTACACAAAAATGAAATTTCATGTAGGAACTAAAAGGTCAAAAAGTAGCACAATTTGTTTTAACTTGACTCTACAAAAATAGGCATCATGTACATTTAGAAAACAACAATGTATGTGAAACATCCTTTAGGATACTGATCACATATGAAATATTTTTTTCCAGTCCTTAGCAGCTGGAGTACATTAGAACACAAAGCACATTACCAGAAAGATTTCTATCCAGTCAGTGTATTTTATCCTAGCAATTACAACACACAAATTTAACCACCTAACCAGAAATGCTTGAGTCACGATAATGTGAATAGCTTGCTTGATAGCAAAAGGATTTTGTCCTCTGCCAGCAGTAAGCCCAAAGAAACCCTCATCCAAATGGAAACATGACAAAATGGCACTCCCTCAAAACTCCATCCCTTTGTGGCAGATATTAGTTTGGGATATGTCACGAGAAGTGTCTGCTGACTCTTGTCTTTCAGAAGCCAAGCAGTGCCACCACCGGCACAGTCTGGATGAAAACCAAGTGGCTGTGGCCCATTTTATAAATTCCTCCACTGCAGTGCAGCTCAGGAACAGATGTGATCTTGTGATGCAGGCACGGGAATGATGACACAGCTATGATCCAGTCTGGAAAGCCCATAGCAGTTTTGTTAAAACAAACGAACAGGGAACTCTCCCCCATTTCCCACCCCTTGTGAGTAATGGGGCTGTAAAAAACAAAGAACGTGTGGGATGTCCCTGAGGACACTGGTTGGAAGGCAATGCCTCTCCCTCACCTGTGTATGAACTGGGGGAGATGTACTGAAGTCACACGATGGGCAAGCTTAGTGGCAACCCCTACCCCATGTAATATGACATGACATGTTCAGGTCTTTATCCTGTCATTAGGATAAAGGCAAGTCACACTGGAGCAGTTAGAAGCCCATGCAATTCTAGCCAATGTAATTT